GGGATGAATGCAAGGGACGAGTGTAGTGCCCGGAAGAGTCCGGATTTACACTCCATCCGGGATAAACTACCGCAGTACACGCCCCCGGCACCGTCCAAGCTTCCTCCGAGACTATTGAGGCGGGTGGAGAGGGCTTCGCTGAGATCTATGCGGTAGCGCATCGACACTTGGTGCTTACTTTGAGCGCCCACTTGAGATAATTATTCCCCGAGACATGTTGACCGTACATGTATGGATGCTGGTACGCACTAAGGACGATGTCATGCTTGTCCGCATCGTGATTTGCGTCGCTCCGTTGGCATTTCAGCTGGCCTACACTTGATCTTGCCACGAGGGTTGAGTTGGACATGGCCAACTGCTCTCGCAATGCCCACTTCGTGGCTTCGTGGGTGGATATTCCGGAGCGACTGCGGCCCGCTCGGCACACAGCCCAATTGTACCCCTATCCTCCCTAGTCTATCTATATGCCTGTACACTCGTCCAAGGCCTGCTCCCTTGCAACTGTGACTGCTGCAGGTCTAATAGGGTTTCTGAAAGCTTGATATTATAGCGTCTTATCGCTTAGTGGTCGTCGCGTATTCGTAATACAGCAAACTACGTGCCCGCTTATACCCTGGCATCAGACAACTCCCGGGGTCTTCTACACGGCCTTCGGCGCTGCGTCCGCCGATGGATGTGACTCTTCAACCCTGCATTGTTGTCTCCCCACGCCATTGCGACTTACTGAGTGCAATCCCGGGCTGCTATGTACGGATACGGACAGCCAATCCAACGTTGTGCTCTGACCGGGCGGTACTGTTCCGCATGCTTGGGGCTAATTCGTATCAGCTTGACCAAATATCAAGCATGTGTGGTTCAATGCTGGCTGTTCGGCTATCATTTCGTGAGCCTATAGTAAGCCTTACTACGTCCGAGTCGGAGCTGGGGTAGACCTTGCTCACAATAATGGTTCGCCGACCGGTTCAAGATCAGTTGGAATATGGTACGACGTAGCACTATCACACCAATCGGAGCGCTGATAGTGGTAGGACAGTCACGTGTAAAACGTCTGGGCTCTCCCTATATATTGTGACTGTAGCAGTCAGCGTACGAGAGCTTCGGGTTGTTGATAGCCAGTTTGAGTACTACAATCCTCGCGCCTGCGAGGTACTGAACCTCTTCTCTATTGCACGCTCGGGGAATTGGCATGAAGTGTGTTGTTTGCAACTCACGGGCACGTACATTTTCGTTGGGGAAGAGAGGCCACTGATTCTATGAAAGTCAAAGAACTCTCCTGAAATGGGTAATGGCCCCCCTCCCCATCTATTCGAATATCGATGAAAATAGTCGCTCTTGACCCCTATAACCGGTCTAGATCAGTTCAGCTGGAGCACTCCTGACCTGTGTCACATTCCAATCTCCCAATACGGTACAAAATGCCCGATGGCGCAGGATCAGACTTCATTTCAACCATGGTGAAGTTGTTTAACGTGGGTGCTGTTCGCTGTTGAAGTGGCAAGCCGAAATGAATTGTCGCCAGCAGCAGCTTCAAAATTGACATGATACAAGGTAACAAGCCCTATTTAGACATATAACCGAGCGAGCAATGTTTATTTGCTAACTAGGAATCATAGCATTCAAACTTTGCGCCCTGTAGTACTCGTCATATCACTAACAACGAGAACGAAAGTGCATTATTAAGTGGAATCATGACACTGGGAAGGGAGTGGAAATTGATTGCTGTATTGAACCCAACGCAGACCGCGGGATGAAAGCTCCCCTGGGCTATCAAATCCCGAATTCACCGCCTAGAAAACCCGGTTCTTTTTCGTTTTCGCTCGCTTGGGCTACCGACCAATACCCAGAGTCCAAATCAACAGATCCTGGTGGTATCTCGGAAAAGTCATACAGGAGACCATTGAAATCATCGAAGCTCCCAAATTCATCCATCAAGGGTGGCTGGGAGAACATTCGAAGCTCATCTTCTACCTGATGTGACTCGTTATCTATCATGTGGGCCACACCCTCGGTGTCTACACTCTCATTCTGGACGGGTTCTCCACCCGGGGATGAGCGTAAAGAACGGTAGGTATTAAACAGCTGAATCTGAGCGTCGCGTATGATGCCGATCAGCTGGCTTCGAAGACTTTCTTCGATGGGGTTCAGGCGCTCTTCTATACAGAGCTCCAACTGTCGCTGGACATGGGATGGAAGCTCCCTCCGGAGAAACTGTTCATACCGCGAAAACTCGGTTTCTAGAGAATCGTCAACGGTGGGGCCTGACCCATGATATTAATAGTCTGTTGCACTGTGAGCGGCAAGCCGTTACGCTGGAAAGAGAAGGGCTCACAAGGGCTCGAAAGGCGAGTCGGGTTAGCATCTGGGAACAAGATCAGGTACATCACGCTCCACTTGTCTGTCTCCGACATGTATTTGTCTGTACGCTTCCGAGAGCGCAAAAGCTCTTTCTGCGTGGAGTCCATGCCCTCGACGACTAAGGCCTGATCCTTCACCTCGCACTGCTCATTTGCTCTGATATGCAAGTCTTTGAGTCGGTAGTTTGCGAATTCTTCATTACACCTTGGACATGTAACAGGCAACGCATGGTTGCGGTAGACATGCTCCCTAGCTGTGTTAGTTTTTAGATTCATTAGGGTAGGGCTCGGAGTGCGTACTTGACTCGATGAACCGTCGCCCAGCCGGGTCCGGTGCAGGCCCCGCGTTGGTGCTTTCCGGGATTCTTTTTGAAGAAAGGACAGGCCAACCTGAGATTGACTTCGTTGGGATGGCTATTCGATTTCGACACCTTGAGAGGCCTGAAGTTTACCCCAGCATCATCGTTGTCGTCGGCTCTCCGTTTACGGGAATGTTTTCCCCCTTGTTCAGTTGGAGAAGTCTCGGCTGTTGAGCTTTGTGTTCCAGAGTGCAAGGTCTCGTGGCTTCGTTCAGCTGGCGTGGATCCATGAGATGTGTAACGGGATCTAGTCGAGGGACAATTCGAGATTATTGAGTAGAAGTAGTCCATCAATCTGTCGAGGAGAGCTTGCTTTGGCCCCACGGTAGACCCTTCATACTCAGATGAGAATGAATCAGTCGAAGTAGAATCCTGTGTTTCTGGGGATCTGTTCGACTCATTCGAACGGTGTCGAGTAGTTTGAGCATTCTCCTTCTTGTCGCCTTGGAAGAATGGACAATTGTCGAACACTAATCTGTCAAAACCGGTGGCGGGCAATGCTGGCGAACTGAAGGGCCTCGAGAAAACTGTTTCATTGAGCAATAAATTATCTTCCCCATAAAGAGATAGATAATCTTCGCTTTCGAAAGGAATGTTGTCATAGTGAGATGTTGACACGTAGGATTCGGTTATGTACCTATAAGGCTCGTTATCATCTTGAGATGTTGACGCCCCGTATTCGCCTGGATAAGAGGGCCAGAGGTCTATTCCAGAATCTCGAGAGTTCGAGGATTCTTCCGGGGGTATTAAATAGAACTTCTCATCAAGTGATCGAATTTGACCACTCTGCGTCTCTCGCTGTCCACTGTTGTGGACGAAAAGCGGATAGAGAAGTTCCGTGATCCTCTCCCTATTTGCAAGATCAAGCGCTCTTTCGAAAGGAATCCATGTACCCCTGAGGCGCATGGGACCAGTATTGACAACCTGACTAATCTTTTCGGACTTGAGAAGTTTATCACGTCTTGTCCGAGTCAAGCCAGCGACGTTGAGAAGTTTCGTTCCATTGATCATCCGGTTGTCCTCTCTGCGCGCAACATATACGCCTAGAGCCTCCAATAGAAAGCACAAGCTTCTTTCATCTTCCCAGAGTGTTGCAGTAAGTTGTGGTGTCGCACCCGGAGGTGCGATCTGGCCCGTCGTGTCGAAGTCCTGGTGGGAAGGTAACGACGGAGTTTTCGATTCGGCGGGAAGCAGGCTCAGCGGTGCTTTTCCCGTACGCGATGACTCCTCCGCGGGCGACTCTGAAACGTCCTGGACTGTAATTTAGCCTCTAGGGTAGAGGTGCCGTCTTTCTGGCTGTAAAGAGAATCCATCGCAGATCGAGGGTGGCTGGTATTACGTTGGACAGAGAGAATTAGTCGTTAGGTTGAAAGCCGCGTGAATAGATATCCAAGAGAGTTTCTAGAGGTGAAAAGGCTACATCATTGACGGCGTCTGTTGCTGGACTTGTAGGTTGTGGGAACGAGCGAGACGTTTTGCGCATTCTCGCGAAATTAGGTACGACGGAGCAAATTTGCATAAGAGATCTGCATCCGGGCTAATAAGCATCTGTAGAAGGTCAGAGAGTTGGTGATATCGGTATCCCAGAACGGCTAGACTTAGAGGCCTCGCTGCACCTTCTCGGAGGCATCCAGTAGTTCGCCCTCGGGTCGATGGACTGTACCACAAGATTCCATTGCGGCTTTATGCTCTGCTTGCCGGATCGTGAGATCTTGCAGCTGAAAGGCAGAAGGGACCTTGTACATCGTTGTTCAATTTTCTGTCCGTTTACCTCTGGGTTCGCCCAAACGTGATCGGTCTTGCGCAAGTTGAATTGTCACGGAGATGGGCGAGTTGAGAAGAACGTGTGAGCATGACGAGTGGCCAAGACACTTGTGATAACGAAAGTGAACCCACAGTTGTCACTGCTACAACTGCACCTATTGGATCCTTCAGGCTTCTCCGCACTTGGGAAACCACTCATAAGCCCGTATTATTTTCTTCATAGGTCTGGGCTGATCATCTTATTCTGCCAAGTTTTTAGTTTGCTAGCGGCCAAGGAGCACGCGTACGTATAATAACATATCCTCTGTCAAAAGGCCTTCTTACTTACAATGACTAGATATTCAGGATGAGGCTTTTACACTCGACAAAGTTGAAGATAGAGGAGTTTATTGGGCGCAATAGCGACACAGTTCTAGTCCGCGAGGGACATAATGCAATACCCGAGTATACCGTCCCTCGTCATGCAATTCTGTCTCATACGTGGGAGAAGGAGGAAGTATCCTTGTAAGACTGGCAAGGCAATATGGATTCAACCAAGAGAAAGAAGGGCTATACCAAGATACTACAGAGCTGTGAACGCGCCAGCCAGGATGGCTATGACTGGATCTGGATCGACACTTGTTGCATCGACAAGACCAGCTCGACAGAGCTGTCCGAGGCCATCAACTCCATGTTTCAATGGTATCGAGAACCGAATGTCTGCTACGTCTATCTATCTGACGCCACCGGAACACAGCCATTCTACAAAGCGACGAAGGGAAGCATAGCTCATGCGTTCCACGGTGGTACTCACGAGGCTGGACATTACAGGAAATTATCGCGCCTGCACGAGTACGTTTCTTGACGAGAGATTGGACCGACGTGGGCAGCAAAGAGGATCACCTCGATGCCATTTCAATAATAACGGGTATAGATACCTATGCTCTCAAAGGGGGAGACCTTTCGCGGATAAGCGTTGCCAGGCGGCTCAAGTGGCTAGCCAGAAGAGAAACAACCCGGATCGAGGACATGGCTTACTGCATGCTCGGAATATTTGACATCAACATGCCGCTTCTTTACGGCGAAGGTAAAAAAGCTTTCATCCGGCTTCAAGAAGAAATCATCAACGCAACCACGGACCAGTCCATCTTTGCTTGGGCAGAACCCTACCCTTCAAATGACTATCCTTATCTTGATCACGAGGAATACAATCGCGTATTTTCCATCTCCGAATATGGCATTATCGCCGTGTCTCCGAGAATGTTCGAGGGCTCTGCCTCAGTGGCCATGTTTGCTCGGCCTCGACCATCGCGCCCGCACGCTGTTGTCACCAGACAAGGTATCAGAGTACACTTGCTAATGTGCGAGAATGAAGTACACTCGTCAATGCGGGATGCTGATGATTCGAATATTTTCATGGCTGTGCTGGATTGTCAAAATGGTCGTACGCCTGGTGTCTTGGCTGGCATCAGATTGAGAAGAATCGCAGAGAATAGGTTCATCCGCGTTTACCCTATCGCGATACTTTCCTTCGCCCGCTGTGATTGGAACGGGGAAGTCTTGATTAAAGGATTTGACCTAACGGCAGAACAATCAGAGCTCATTGAACTCGAATCTCGTTAGTAGAGCCATAATTCCGCGGGCTGGTTGTGCGGGCACCGACTGACTGTCCAGCAGACATCTCCTACCAAAGCTGGAAGTTGAAGGAGGTCTACATCACCCAATCCAACTTACATCCACTTCCACCGGGCTTCTGGGTGCTACCTTTAGAAGACGAAATGTCAATCGAGAGTGTCTATCCCCCCGAGATCTGGGACATAGCGACCAATATCCTGCAGCCACAAGTGTCGTGGGGCAAGATCGGGGCCATAGGCCTTCAAGTGAGAGATGTGACGATTGCGCTCATTCTTGGGTTTAGCAACCATTTACCTGGTGTTGTGCCATGGTGCAAGCTGTGTAGTTACAGCGGTGAGGATGAATTGTCAGATGTTTTCGCCGCATATGAAGAGGTTCCGTCACGAGAGGGCGCCGCTGTTGGAGTAGACTTTTCCGAACTGGCTGGGCTCTTGGTCTCGATAAGGACCCCGTCTGTTTCTTCAGTTCCGATGAACATCGTTCAACTCGAACTTGTTGAGTAAGTCGGTGGCTTGGCAAATTTCATAGTCACCTTGAAGTCAATAGCAGTGTCCTCATTCGATACCGCTCTAAACCTCTGTTGCGATGACGCAAGTCGCTACAAAGTCAATCACCATGCAAGTATTGGAAACTGGCTATTGTATGAGTGGTGGCAATCATGGCTTCTCATCACTCGATGGCTTTAGCTCCTCGACAAAGGTCAAAAATGGATCGTAGGATAAGAAAAACGTACGTTTGGGGACAGGTCTCTGGCCTCATTAACAACCTTCCCAGTGAGCAAAGGCCGAGTTATTGAGAGCGAATTAGACAACTCAATGATTATACGCACAACTTTTTGAAAGATTGATTCAGAAGACGGGATTTTTATCACCTTCATGTATATGGCACAAAGTACTACAGAAATCCAATCTAGGCAATTTGTCACAAGCCATACATAAGGTGTTGATTGCTGCCGGAAATCGCGGGGCCCCAGGTTTTCCAGGCCCCGTCCGGGCTCCGGGTCGGCGAATATGGTACCCCTGGATTGTTTTCCCAGGTATTTCTCCCGGCCTTCGCTAATTGTTTCTATCAGATTGTCCGGGCCGTCTTCGATACTGGCCTGGACTATCATGATCGCATCGGCGAATGAGGCGTCGACCAACGCGCTCAACGGGGCGGCCTCTGGCGTGTAGGAACGATGCGGTTTGAAAGGGTGCTTAGTGGGACTGAAATAGTGAACTTGGAAATCCCAGGAAATGGAATCGCTCTGTAGTTGCTCCTTGACTGTCAGGGGCAGGGTGACATCTTCAGCCCTATGGGTTTCATTGACGGGGTAATAACAGCCGCCAAGATGGACCCAAGAGAGCACGAAAGGGCAATCAAGCTGTGTTTGAACATGGCTTCTTCCTCATAGGCGGCAAAAAACCGTTAGCAGGCGTCCGAATGTTTTTCGTCAAGAGCTTGGGTTGTACACAGTACTGGAGTTCCCCTGAGGGCTGGAAGCGGCGATAGTAGATTGTTATTCGGATCCCGCAGCTCCGCGATATCCTCTATATTATGTACGGAGTTTCTTTCGGACCTTGTCTGTGCGGGCTAGCCGGCAACCCTCCGAATACATTGGCGCCATACCAGATATGTACCATTAAATATCCGCATCTTTCCTTGATCCGCTTTGAGTGGTTCTGTGGTAGGGATCATATTTCGGGGTCATCCGATTTTGCCCAACTTTCACCGGAGCCTATCCGTGCCGGGATCTTGCGGTACCATATCCGGTAGGTGTTAGCACAGTTTCTCTGACTAGAATTGAATCTGTTTGTTCGAGAAGCCGAATAAGTAGACATATGGATCACGGAATAAATCACTCCCTCAATTGGACTTCAAGCCACACGTGAGGATATATACTGTTTCGACCCGAGTTTTCCATCATCATGTCCATGATTGATCGACAATAAAGCAGGTACGATTGCCACCATTGAGAAATAATACACAATTCATGTCCTCGATGCCTTTCACACCGAAGTCATCAAGAGTGCAATGGCTTTCTTCAACGTCGTCCTAAGCACAGACAAAAGATTTACAGGCGAGCAACAGAAGCCTAAGGCTGTCTTGGTCAAATCGTAGTGCAGCGTCTTAGTGTAATGTGCGACTAACTCATAAAGGACGATGTATTCTTCTTGCCATATTATACTTGTTTTCCGACTATTAAATACTTGTTGCTCTATGTTCTGTATGACATCAGTGTCAACTAGACCTAAGTCGGATCTAGCGTCTAGAAAGGCGTTCAAGCGGCCGTTCGGCCACTCGACGGAACTCTTATAACGACAAAAGGCGAAGAGCAAAATACTGTTTATCACCTAGGTTAGTACAATGGGCGGAACAGGGCAGGTTGCCACGTATCTGATACAGCCCGAAATGCTGAGCGTTTGAGCTAAAATCACACGCTTTTCTACCTAACCTGTGTGTAACTACGTTTGGGAGTTCAAAATTCGTCATTGGAGACTGTAAGAGCACCTTTCTGTACGCCAAGAATATGTTTTCTGAGAAGAAGACAAGCCACACTGCGCCCCTTTTCAAAGACGGGTGCCAGACACACACCACCGCACAATGTGAGCCTAGACAGTGTCAGGTATAAGGGACGTTCGTGGTAAGCTTAGATCCAGAAATCGCGCTAATTGACCGCTTGCGCCAGGAGAAAGTTAGTAATATGATCTCTGTTGTCTAGTAGGACTTTTGGTCTATCTGCTGAAGAAGGTGGGAGTGCTAGTTTAGTATTAACATAGTTGATCCCCTTGAAAGCCTCTCGAACCCGAGGGCTGAGCGTTCCTCAAGCGAACAAATGTGCATAGGTTATAGGCTTTCTTGCGCGGAATGGGCTTTCCAGGAGCAGACGCGTTAAGACGCGCAAGTCTTCCAAGGGCACCCGCTTTAAGTTAGGGTTAGGTCGTAGTTAATAGGATACAGTAGATAAGCGACGCCGCATTTATTTTGCCTCTATAGCTTTATACCTTCAATCGTCTATTCCCGTACTGGATTGTTCAACCATAAGCGAATTTTATCTAGTGTATATATGTCGTGGCTCTTCTTCGACTTAGTGTAGTCATCCCCAACTTCCGTCCAGCCAGGCGTGCCCCAACTTACTGTCAGATCATCTCCTATGTTATGGCAGGATCCAAAATCAACCAAGATCGGCTTGCCGCTCTGTTCGTCTATCATAATGTTTACTAGATTAATGTCGTTATGCGCCAGACCAAGGGAGTGAAGGTGACGGACAGCAGACTCCAATTAATCCATAAAAATGACATCGTTAACCAACTGACCTTTTATCAGCCATTCACAAAGGTTGCCTTTATACTTATCGAAGATAAGGCCGGTAATGCGACCTCGACGTACGCGGCAGCCGAGAAACTTGATGATGTTTGGATGCTGTTGGTGGCGAGCAATGCTAACCAATGCGGTTGCCTCCTCTAGAAAACTCGCTGGAATGATGTAGAGGCAATCCTCTTCTTTATACCAGTCATATTGGTGGATCGGCGGGCGTTTGATGTAAAAGTCTTTCAATTCATTGGCTGCCGGGAAGTTGAGATTGTCGGGGGCAGTGCTTAGAGGCAGCATCGCTTGCTGCAAAGGTGGGAACACCTCTTCATCAGAGATCAGTTCAAGCGCACCTGCGATATCGTCGAGAGTGGCCTGAAGCTTGGGTATCTGAATCTGTCCGAAGTATCCATGGTCATCTTCGTCAAACCACGCAAAGGTGGTGTGTAAGAAATCCTTATAGTCCGTACTTCCAAGGCGGAAAGACTCTGCAAGATAGTAAAGGTCGCTGAAGGACTTGAGATTAGGGATAGCCACTCTGATGAGTGAAGATTGAAGAAAAAACGAAAGGGTTGCCTACATCAACCTGGAAAATAGCAATGCGTTACCAATCGCGTGTGACGGTAGGACGCCATAGGTGCCAAGGTACCGAGAACACCATTCGGATTCATTGCAAAGACAGTTTCGTTCAATAAAACAATTACCGCACCTGACGGCCTACGATAGTGGCGTTGAGATAGCCCCTAAGAGAGCACACACACACATTCCATTCACGCCACTCCATGCCTACCTGCCCCATTTAGCATACAAACGCATGGCTCATCAGGGAAAGAGTTGACGCCACTTTGTCTAAAGGCGGAGTACAGCCAACAAAAGGGGCTTTAGCGGTATCTTATGTTATCCATCTTATAAGGTACAGAGTCGTGGTGTTTGTTAAGAGAGCACAGCTGCCCAAATAGTCCAGGTGAGCCGGATGTCGTCACAGCGCCTTATTAGATAGGAACTCTTACCGAAGACTTACTATCCTATGTGACAAAGGATTATAAAGATTCATGCTCTCTAGACTTCCCAGGTTATGTATGCCACCAAATATTTCCCCCGCCTATCCTAACTTCGCCATCTCAGTTTTGCCACATCAACTCAACTACCTCGCTGTAGAGCTGTAAAGAAATTCATTTACACTTCAAGTTCTGTCACTTCACGTACCGTACCATCTTCGGTATACCACCTGAAAACTGCCTACGAAGTATTTCATCATTTCCAAAATGTATGTGACTACCACCTTAAACTTAAGGCTGTTTACTATTAATGTGAGTCACGTTATAGGTGTACTACTGAGAAGACGACTACGACGATTACAAAGGCAAATGGCGACGTTGTGGAGAAAGTCAAATCTGTGAAGAAAAGACTGTGGCAAGTCTGGCTGCTCCACGTCAGCATCATACCGCCCATGAGTCTATCATAGTTCAGCAACACCCAACCGGATAGAAATGGGGGTCAACGATAAGCAACACATAGTGTAATTAGTGATATAGCGATAACGTTCTAGCGCTCATCAGCCAATCATTGACACATGTAACCTGGTGGTAACCGCTCGATGTTTGCTTGGTTTCATACCTGTACTACCTGATGACACGTACTCAGGCGACCCAAGACGTCTCTTCTGGTTCGGGATCTCAGGACTTAATTCTGAAGCGACAGGCTCTTTCGTCCATACCATCTCCCGTTCTGTGTTGGTTGCCTGACGGCGTCTCGCCCGCCTCACTGATTGGTCGAATCTATTCCTGTGCCGCCTGTCCTTACTTTCATCGTTCTCTCTGACATCCCCAAGTGGCCCGAACCTCACCGTCTCTACTCCCATTGATTCAAAGGCTACCTCCACTGTCGCCCGCAAACTGTTGAAGCTTGCGGGGAGTTTCTTCGCAACTTGTTGTGCTGTACATTGGTTGCTGCTATAAATCAGTCCTGCCCCCTTACCAGACACTGTAGATTACCAATTTTACTTGTCGCTCTCTGTATTCAGGGACGTCTGCAACAATGTGTTTCTCGAAAAGTGAAATCTCGTGTTTGACTGAACGGACAACTGTCAAGACCAAACCGTGTGTATGTGTTGGCGTAGGGGGACTGCGGTGGGAGGAAGGGATTCGCATAATTATTAACAGGCTATTTTAAATTACTACAGCCGCTACTTATTTATGTATCTCTGTGTGTATTAACTCGTAGTAACATGTTAATTTCCCTAACATGTCGGGCAGGTTGCACGCAGTTATTTTGCGCAGTCCACGAACACTGCCTGAGACTAATACATTTCACTCATAATCGCGCCGTAGTACTGCTATTGATCTGCCCATTTAAGACACAAACATGCGGCATCCCGGGACCATATGATAATTCGGCTAGCAAATAGCTCTAAGACACTAATCACAGTGGTGCTTCATAGCATAGTCGCTTCCTACGCCACTGGAATTCTGCCTAACAATTGCGCCCAGTAGTTGTGTCAAACATTAGGCGTTCTCAAGGAAGCATATCTAGTAGTGACCTCCCCTCTTGCCCTCTATATATTAATAACTCGTCTTACAGTGATGTTTATAATTCTGCTTTAAATATCGTGTTACGCAACCTCCTGTAAAGAATGACGGTTGGTTAACAAGGAAACCGTCATGGTTTCCTCTAGGAAACTGCTAGGAATTCCCCCTTTGAAACCACCAAGAAATTCTTAGGAATTCCCCTACGGAAATCTTTGTGAAATCCCTAGGGGATCTCCCTGTGATTTCCTTGTGAAAACCTCTGGAAATACTTATGTATTTAGTCTAGTATTATCCTCTTTATAATTAGAGAGATAATCGTCAATATTATTACTTTATTACTTTAACCTACACTC